CCCCCCACTGCTGTGAGCGGTGTGGGCCCGCCCCCCCTGCTCCTCCGACACCACCACCCTTCCCCAGCATGGGTGCCAGCAGCCCCCAGTCCCCTCCCAGCCTCCTAGGAAGGTCCTGCTGCAATCCTGGCAGAGATCTCTGACGGTGGGAGCACCACGGTGGCTCTTCATAGCCCACAACTGGCCCAGCGGTCTCGGAGCCTGCCTGCTATGGGGATGGTGCTGCTATAACCATGGCTGAGCTGGTTCGGCCAGCACCAGTGGCAGAGGATCTGCTGGCAGCGCTTGATCCTGACCCTACCTCTCACCAACCGGAGCCCAAAAGCCACAGGGTGGCCACCATCCCCAGGGCGGTGGCCGAGGATGCTCTGAAGCTGCATCCTGTGTGCCCCTGCCACAGCTCCATCTGCCCTTTGCCTGCGGGTGCCGACCCTTTTTACCTGTTTTGTAGTAGCCGGGCAGGATGAGGCTGACTTTGACGCCCCAGGGCTGGAGCTCGCTGCGGAAGGTGTCCATGAGCAGGCTGAGGGCTGCCTTCGAGGCCCCGTAGGCTGCCAGGCAGGGGAAGGGCAGGTCACCTTGCAGGAGAGAAAGGATGAGTGAGCAACTGCCTGCGTGCCCTGGGGGCTGGCAGGGACCGGGAGGGCTTGCGGAGGGCTGCGCTCCTGACCCCTGCACGAGGGAAAGGGTTTAGGGTGCCTGATGCGGCTGGCTGGGGAAGCGGAGGTGCCCGGAGCGGGTGGGAACCACACCACACCATGGGGATGGTGGACCCGTGCCCAAGTTCGGGGTGCCAGGGGCGTCTGGCGGGCCGTGCTCACCCGCGGGGCTGCTCACGGTGACGATGCGGCCACCGGCGGAGCGGAGCAGGGGCAGCAACCCCTTGGTGAGCTCCAGCGAACCGAAGAAGTTCACCTCCATGCAGGTGCGAAACTTGCCCAGCGGCGAGAGCTCGGCGTCGGCGATGGTGTCGTTGAAACCGGCGTTGTTCACCAAGCCCCAGAGCCCTGCGGGGACGGGATGCTCAAAGAGGTGACCCAAATAGGGATCCCCGCTACCCTGGGGATCCCAGCTGGTCCCCAGCTGGTGGGGTCCTGCAGGGGAATCACGGGGGTGCCCTGGGACGAGCCCCGTTAGCAGAGGCTGTCGGCACGAGTACCTGCAGGGACGCAGCCTGCGGTGGGGGGGACACGTGGCGGCTTGGCACTGCCATGCTGGCCACAAGCTGAGGTCTCAGGGAGGTGCCTGGAGGTCCCAGGGGGTGTCAGGGGCTCCTACCTGTGCTGTTGGTGTTGGCCTGGACGTGCTGCAGGACACGCTGGATGTCCTCCGACTTGGTCAGGTCCATCTGCAGCAGGGTCAGCCTCGGCGAGCAGCTCCTGCGCAGCTCCTGGGCACCGGGACCCTGCGGGTCCAGCACGCTGGCGAACACCCGGAAGCCCATGGTGTCCAAATGCCGCGCTGTCGCCTGCCCGAAACCGGAGTCGCAGCCTGTGAGAGCAGAGAGGAGCCCTGCAGTGGCTGCCGACAGCTGCTGGTGGGCTGTCCCCAGCCCCCCCGGAGCCCCCCAGCTCTGCCTCTCCATCCCCAGGGACCAAATTCCGCTCCCCCCCAGCACTGGTCCCCTGCTCAGGGCTCGCCACCGGGGATGTGACCTTGGCCTGGGGCATTCGCAGGTCGTGGAGCTGCTGTTTTCTCTCCTATCGCACATGGGAGGAAGAAAACACTCCCTTATCTGCAGCCCCATCGCCCCGAGCGCCTCTCTGATGCGCAGTGCAGGTAGAACCGCAGGCGTGAGGCACCGGGACAGCCCAGAACCCAGCAGCGATGTGGGACAGGAGACATCAACCCCCAAATATCCTCCAAAAGCTCCATCGCTCACCACTGGGAGCTGGCACAAGGCTCCGGGGGAGACGCTGAATGCTTTTTGCCTCCCAGAAATGGTGGCCAAGAGGCACAGCCCCCCCCCATCGCTGTGCCGAGGGGGTTAAAAATGGGGAGGATTAAAAAAAAAAAAGAGGGTTCCTGGTCTGCTCCTGCCACCCTGCATCCTTCAAACGAGCATCCAACGGGGATGTGCCATGTGGGGGAGCACTGGGCGCTGCCATGCCCGGTCCCAGCCTCACCTCCTCCATCTCAGCTCGAGCAGGGGCACCGCAGGTGACACTGTCACCATTGGGGTGGCCGGGGGACAGCCCGGGCGGGAGCTGGGTGTCGTGGGGCCCGTGGCCGGGATGCAAACAAACAGTGGCAGCAAGGTACAGGCTGTTCCCGGGCCGATGGCTGGGCTGATAGCTCGTTGGGAGCCCGTGCCACCGCCACTGCCCGGCCACATTAACCATTAACAGGGCGGCGCTGCAGGGGCAGCCCCATGGCTCCCGCACCCTCCTGCCCGGAACCCTTGGGTGCTCCTTAGGACATCCCTGAGAAAGGACCCTCTCTGACGCCTGGAGACACCCCGGGATGGATGCAACAGTGGCCCCGGGCACTGCCGCTCACT